GCAAGTCTCCCCTCAGCAGATTGTAGCATATTTTGCTGGTATTTTTGCACTGAATTGATTAGCAAATAAAAATATTACAATAAAAATTCTAAGGTTTGTACTTCTTTAGTGTATTAAAAGTGAACTCAGAATTAATTCATACATTTATAATTTGCAGTGGAAATTAACTAAAAATGCAGATAGAACATTACTGTTAAAGCTTTGAAGTGTTAAAATAAGAGAAATAAATAATATTACATTTTGGTACTATTTTTGCACTCAAAACATTTAATTTCTGTTCAGCATAACAGAGGTCACGATATACATGTATTTACTAAAAATTGTGATATTCATTTTCCTGTATTTGTAGACAACTTCATACTTCATTTTCCCTGTGTTTTCCTTATGCCTTTTTTTAATTCATAAGCATACAGCAGATATAATTGGTATGAGATGATTGAACAGGAAGACAAAGAAGAGTGTGGAAAAACAGAAAACTATTCTTTGGCATATGTTTTCTGCTGCTGCACAATGAGCCTTACAAAGTATGAATTAAATAATATTGTATATGTTAGCCAGGCATTTTTTTAAAAGGAACAACAATGGAGATCTTTATAAAAAAGAATCTGTTGCATTTTGTTGTCAAGCAGTCTAGGAAAGAGTTAAGTATTTGCCTTGCCAGAATGATTCACTAAGGGGGAGGGGAATTTAATAGTTAATTTAGCCTCAAAAAAAGCAGACAGTGTAGATGTTTATCTTTTGTCTATCTTTTGTCGGTGAGGTTATGCTCAAGCCAATTGAATGTTGGGTGGAGAGAGCTTGTCACTGAACTTGATAATAGATTCATGCAAATGCTCAGTGCTGCATATTTCAGCCTGCAGATGGTCTTACTGTAAATTCAGCCAGCTCTTTCCCATGTATTAGCTGCCATGACAACTGCTCTGCTTTCTAGTGCCTTGTACAATTAGGTATGAGAAAGCTGAAAAGAATTCATAGTTTTAGCATTTTTCTATTGCAAGCAGCAAAAGCCTTCCTTCAATCCAGCCAGTATATTTATCATTGTCATGGATAATAAATACAAACATCCCTGTTAGGCAAAAGGAATGAAGTGTTAATGTACTTACTAAAGAGCAAGTGTTATTAGATAGAGTTGGATAGATTTTTTTAAAAATAAAAATCTGTATTCTTCAGCCTGGGTCTTCACACTATCCACATCTTTTTATTAAGATTTTTTTCCCCGTAATTGCTTACTGAAATGAAATTGATATAGCTTTCATAAGGTAAGATAAAACATATTGCTCTAACCCTCAAATATGTTTACTATCTTTACAAATCATTGGGGGAAAGTTGTTTTTCTTTATTTTTTAAAAAATTATTTCGTCTTTCATAAAGCAATTGTTGCTGACTATATAGGCCCAGGTGGCATGCGGAGACCTCTTTGCCAGTGCGCAAGCCATTGCCCCAGCTGAGCCCCACTGCGCATGCACGCGCATCTCCCATCGGCCAACTGATTTTCGGGTCTCTGCAGTGCACGTTGTTTAATCAAAACATATAAGCCATCCAACAGGAACAGAAAGTGCCTCACAGGAGCAGATAGAGGTAAATTCTAGAGAGGCAGGAAATGCATCACTAAACAATGGAGATGAATGCTAGAGAGGAATAAAGCTACACACAAAGTAAACATAACTCCTGTAAGAGAGTAGGCATGTGCGGGGGGAATGCGGGGGAGTGCGGCGCCCCCCTTTTTTCATCCCAGGTGGCTTAAGGGAGGCCTGCTAGGCCCAAAATGGAGTGCGCAGGTGTCTCATGCACATGCACAGGGACACACGGGTGGGGTCACACATGCATTGTATTATGGGTGAGGGCACGCATGTGTGCTCTGTCGGGCACATGTGTATGCTTTTGGCACACAAGGACAAAAAGGTTACTTTACGGAATTTTTATAATTCCGATTCTGTTCAGTATGTTTCATTGTCTATTTCAGTTAGTCTATTCAGGGATTTATTTTATGTGATTTACATTATATCCTACCTTTTTGCCAGTTATGCCTGTAGCAAATTAAATGATTAAAACTATAATTCTTATTTTTTTTAAATAAAACACATCAAGAAAATATCTTGCGTATGTCTCCAGCTCCATAGTCAAAGCACGCGCATACATCAAAGGTCTTCTCTGTGTTGTAAAAATAAATAGAAGCAGTTCTACTTGCTGGAAGACAAAGCTTATGAGAAACCATCAAGAATGCCTTCCCACCACTTTTGCTTCCAGTGAAGGAATAATCAGGGGAAGGAGTCCTCTGCAAAATCATAATGCTCAGTACTCTTAAATAAAATCACATGATAGTCATAAGTCCAGTTCTGAGTCAAATTATCTTTCACAATGAATCATAAATGTCTGAGGCAGCCTCACGAAACAGTGTGATGGTTTAATTATCTGTCATTACCAAATACTTCTCAAGGGGCAATTCCACATACAGTTGTACAGTAGTTCATGGACAATTTTAAGAATGCTTCTAAACAAATAATATCAAATGCATGCTAGAAGACAGCTAAAAATGTGTAAAATAAATTTCCAAGAAAGCTAAGCAAATAATACATTGAACTTTGCTTTAAGTACCATTTATTTTATAGTGCATTCATATCAGATGATATTATATTTCTTCCAGTCATCCTTCAAAAACATTTTATTCTTAAAGGTATATCTGGACATGTATTCGGTTATCTGTAACCTTCATGAATTTGTCTAACACACTTTTAAAAATATACATTTTGTACCTCTAGCACTGTCACAATTTTTTGAAAGTAAAATCTATTTGTTAGACCTGTTTTGTCATTCACTGAATCTCTAATTACTCAAATTTGTTTGAATAATAACTTCCACATAATAAAGTTTAATATGTCGTCTTCTCCTTCTATATCAGGGGTGTCAAACTAGATTTCATTGAGAAGCGCATCAGGGTTGTGTTTGAACTTGGGACCAGGGTGGGCATGATGAGGGTAGGCATGGCTGGGGTGGGCATCACTCGTGTCAGGGCACATGTGGTGGCCAAGTGTTAAGGCAGGATTTCCCTCAGATCTTCCCTCATAATATTCCTTCCTTCCTTCCTTCCTTCCTTCCTTCCTTCCTTCCTTCCTTCCTTCCTTCCTTCCTTTTCTTCTTCCCTCCCTCTTCATTCT